GAGGGACCCTTCTCCCCCTCCGTGAGGGACCCTTCCCGCCCCCTGCGAAGGTTCCCATCTCCGCTCTCTCACATTATGTTAGAATAACCCCATGCGCTTTTTTGCCTATATTCCTTAAAAGTTGCGGTGTCCGTGTGGGAAGCGGTCCGTTGTGTGATGCTGGCGAGGAAGCCTTGCCGTACTACTTACTTTTTCTTTCTTTCTTTCTTTCTTTCTTTTTGCTTTTTTTTTTCTTTTTTCCCCTGGCTAAGTAATGAAATCTGTCTGGCAAGTGAGATATCAGTCTTTATACAGTTTAAGTTCCTCTGACAGCTGTCAGCTCGGAGACAGGCCTCCTTAACCTTTTGTGAGGAAAAAGAATKKCCTTAGAGAAGCAGGTGATTGAGAGAACATGTRGAATTCTTGCTGAAATAATGCATCCTTTAAATATTTTTTTCATTCTTTTTCTCTTTGGAACTATATTGTATTCCTGTTGATGTGAAGTCCCTTTTGGCAAAGCTTCTCTGATGCCTAGAAGGACTTTTTTTTCTTTTCTATGCATTAYAGTTCCAAAGTAGTAAATAATAAGTAGAGAAAGGTGCATTAGGGCTGCATATAGTATTTATCTTCCTTTTTTGTTCTTAAAACAATGTTTGACAGTTRTAAGTGGAAAAATAAAAGGGATGGTTTTGCAGCAGGTTTCAGTAGCAGACAACATCTTGTACAACCACAAATTGAAATATTTTTCAGAATATTTCAGAATGGACAGGAAAGATGTTGATAAAGTGACACATTTATGTTTCGATTTCCAAGGCTTCTGTGTTTCTATTGTCAGAGACAAGTGAAGGTTGTCAGAACATGGAGATTTAGTTCCAGTACTTCCCACAGAGTAGAATGTGGGACGGGAATTGACAGGTCAGAGGAGACTTGGAGCACATGTGAGAAATGGGCTTTATTACAGAAACTTCAGTGAGAAGCGATGAATCCAAAACTCTTGGGATTACTGGTACTAAAGACAATTGTTCTGTGCTCTTATGAGCCTTTTTTTGGGAGGAGATAACCTTTGCCATTCTTCTCTCTCCTAAGGAAAGCACTGACCTGCTAGCTTGACCAAMCATCTGATGAGAATCAGCTGAAGCCTCCATGTGGGGTGAATTATGGGAGATAGGGCATGGAATGGTATGGGGAAAATGTGTGTCTTTTTTTACACTGTTACTGAGGGTGCCTGAAACAAATCTAGAAGTAGTGAGTGTAAAAGATATAGCACAGTTGCAACAGATATCTTCAGATATTCAATATTTAGGTAGTTAAAAGTACGCTGTTCTGTGGGGTTTACTGTATCTTTGCTGTGCTAGAGCATCTTCAGTACAAGTGAATCCGTAGGCCTTTTGATCTGGTGAAATCATTTCCTTTAACTGATGCAGTAGTGGGATGATATAGTAAGTAAACTCATTGAAGGGTGTTAACCCTTTGCTCTTGGGAATGGGGGGTGTGAAGTAAAATTGAGGAAAACAAATACAATGTGAACTGATGGTATCCCAAGGGTGTCTGGTTCCTGATGCTTACACTGGGAAGTGCRAGTGGTGATTACAGTTTTTCTGCTAATCAGAGCCTGCCAGTCCTGGAGGACCTTTTTGCTTGCTAGCTTAATTGGTTTAATTTGCCTTTTGCCTTTCATTTTGTAGTCTGAAAAAGATCTTGTTCTCAGCCTCCTTAATGCAACATCACCAAGTAGTGTGAGATCCAACTGTTACAAAAAAGGTGATTTGTGATGTATCCTTGGTGGACAAAGTGGTGCATCCTGAGACACTAAATGCTAGGAATTTATTAGGGATTCTCTGCCTTTAGTCATTTTATGTCTTGATTTATTTGTATCACTAAAACAAGCATCGGTACAAGGTGTTGTGAATTGAGCTGTGTATGTTCTGTACTTGTCTTTAATTTAGARCCGGTTCTTTATTTCCATGCTTGTATATACGTGTTTGTGTTTCTTTGCCTTCAGAAACCCACAGTAGAATGGGAGAGGGGGGAGCTGCAGACATTGTAATACAAGCAGAAGAACAGCCACAGTTTCAGAGCAGCTGAAGCTGTGACTTTTTCCATAGTATTTTCACTAATACACCGTGACTTCACCTGCAGTTAAAAAACTCGGCGTGCACCTTGCTTTGCCTGGTGATGAACCAGTATTAATGCATACTCTTTAGCTCTATATGGGTAGTAAGTGAAAACAGTACCATATTGATTAAAAAAAAGATTAATTGGTCCTGCTTTTGATTCTGTGATCTCTTTAAAAATCTCTGTAGCTGTGTGAGTGCAATAGTGACACTATATGATTTAATGTCCAAATTTACACTTTGCAGCTGAAATGGCTCTGATTTCTAGGGGAGCTTTTAATGAAAACCCAGCGAGCTCATCTCTCTRTAATGTAGTAAAAAAGAAGGTTGTGGCTTTGTTATAAATGATTGCTGAGATCATATTTATTGGAATTAGAAAGATAAAATGGGAGCTCAAGTGGGAGTAAACAGATGCATACGCAATAGTGTGTCTTGGTGCAAGCTGAAGCAGTTGAGGACTTGCTTTCCTATGGTCATAGGTGGGTGGCAGCAGCAGTAGTGGTCTCGTCATATTGGTGACAGCACTATTAAAGATAAATTTGGGCTTTTGTGTCTGGGTCGAATATTACAACAGTCGCTTCATTTCCTGACACTACTYAGTTAAGTGAGTAATGGTGCTGTCTTTACAGAACTGCTCGGGGTGACTAGAGAATTAATTTAATGTTGTGTAACATAACAGCCTTGGTGAAAAGATAAGGACACAACTTGAGTTTACAGTACAGCCATCACTGTGCTACCTTCCTGAGAATTTTGCATCTTATCAGCTGGAATATGTATTCTCAAGACAGGTGTCAGACTGTGACTTTTCCTGTCGCTTTGAGAGTAGTGATTCATCTGAGGCACTCCTGAGCCCACAGCAGCATTTGAGGTGCCCTCCAGTATCTTGTCTGGTTTCTAGCTACCACTCAGGAGAGGGGTGGGTCTTCTGTATGTTGCTGTCACATCTGCTGCTTCTTGATGTGATGGTTTGTCTTCTCTAAAAGCTTGGTGAAAAGTGGCACCTTCTTTTTGCCTGAATCTTTAGGGTGCTTTCTGTTATTTACCACATGTCTTGTGTCAGGCAGTGTGCAGTGTTACTTTACTTACTACTCTGCTGTATGAGAACACACAAACCTTTCTTTCTGAGGGATGAGAATTAAATGTTCCATCTGTACCCAAGAACTGATCTAAAACAATGCATTGCCCAGGTATGCAGGAACCTTAAGGATATCATCTGTATGGTGATGACTTATATGTACTGCCCCAAGTTACAGAATGTGAGAAAAATTCCCTTGCTTGCTTTAAGTGAGGTGGAGAGAGCTCATTACAAGCTGTGACAGAAATTTTAGTACAAGGGCTTGATCAGCAGCATTTTACCAGAGAAAGGAGCAATTTAAGTTTTATCACAGAATGATTTGAGACTTTCGTTACCCTAATAAAAAAAAACTGGTATTTGAAATGACTAAATCATAGTTCAAGGCACAGTGTCCAAATAGTGAAGGCATAAAGCATTGTTTCAGGGAATGTCATTTATATTTGCAGTCTCTGAAAGTGTTATYATTGGGAAAATTATTCACTGCTTGAATAATCTATGCAGTTTTTAGAAARCAGTGCATAAAGAATACATTTAGCCTCTTGAAAAAGAGAAGCAATTAGTTGTTTTCTTTCCCAGTGGTCTGCTGCAAATTATTTTCTTTCTTAGTTGGAAGTGGTCAGTATTAGAAGCTGCTGAACTGTCTTGGTTCACAATCTATTGGAAGCTTTCTGAAAAAGCCTTACATTGTAAAAACCTAAACTTTGTGATACATACCTAAGTTATTAGTTCAAGTGTTACCATTATTTAAATTATTCAGAGAAGTCAGCACTTTCCTCTACTGTCTCTCATGCAGAAATTAACACAGTTTCGGTCATTGTGAGATGATCCCAGCAGTTTAACCTTTAGCCCAGCACTAGGAAAACTTCAGGAGTACGACTCTAATAATCTTGACTGAACCTCACTAAAGTGGACTTCTTTCTGTTTGGATGTTAGTCTGTCACAAATTGTCCTTTTTAGGTAGGTTCTGAAATTGTTTTTCAGAATATGTTGCTCAAAAAGAAATAAATAGCAAAGTCATTCAAGTGCCTTTGTCATGAGGATAAAAAGCAAATCCGTTTTGATTTTCAGGTTGGTTGAGAGATGCAGAACCTCACTGTGTTCTTAGTCCAATGTTGATTTATTATAGCTGAGTGTATCATGACAAGGACATAGTACCTGATACAAATAGCTGAAATAGATAGCAGTTATTGTAGTGAATGGGAATAAGACTTGAATAATAATAACTGTTCAACCATCTAATCTCCAAGCCATGTTCCAAACAGCCACATTTTTASCAGCTGGATTATAACAAAAATTTAAGATACCATATTCCTGTAAAATCTTTTGTTGCTCTGTGTTAAGTCTGAACACAAGTATGTGAAAATTATCTTGAAATATTTTTAATGTATGTGTTTGGGACTGCTGGTTTTTTGCCTGTCTCAGTCTTATTTTAATTTCACTGTCTGTACTATGATGTAGTAGCATAATTAATTTTTTTCCTCAAAACTTACCATGTCTCCCTTATAAAATTGGGAGTAAAATTTGGCACTTTTTTTCTCAGTTTTTCCATGAGGGACTTAATAACAGATGCTTGAGAACGGGGTTGTATCAATTTCTTCCTGCTACGGGTGAAGCTTGTTTTACACAAATGGRTTAAATATTTAGTAAAATGTGCATACATTATTGGATGGGAGACTGTGCTTCAGTACATGTTTCCCTCATAGTCAGTATGGAAATTTGGAAGTGCTGTGGGGTTTCTTTGGCTGTGAAAATCTTTAAGTATTCTTTTGAGATGGGCCATTTCAGAGAGCTGTCCTGAATGTGAAGCCCTACTTGGTAAGGCTTTCTCCTTGAGGAGAAGGGACAGGATTTGAGCCTCTGTTTTCCACTCTTCCCATGTTCAGTGTTTACAGCATTCAATCAATTTAAAGGAAGGAAGAAAAAAATGCATCATCCATGTTTTGGTAAGAGTTGGATCGAGTAAACCAACCTTGCCAGTTAAATCAAGTTCTCACAAGCAAGACTGTATTGCATGACCAGTATAATCTCCATACAGAAGTTCTGTTTCAGGATATCTCTGGTATAACCAGCATGATCATTATTAAATTCTTAGTATTCTGAAATAATAGTTTCAGGTTGTCTTCTTTCTTTTTCTTTGTGCTGCCCCAACCCAACTGCCACCATTCTGAAACAGTTATCTTATTTAACAGTAAATTTCATTTTCCRTGTGTACAGCAGCTGTTAATGTTTGTAGCTTGAAAACACAGGTTATATAATTKAAAGCATTGAAAGACCTGGAGAAAACCTTTAGCAATTATCTCAGCATTTGGGAATGGCTGGTATGTATTTATAAATAAAATCCTGAAAGTTTTGAAAGCTAAGTAGAGGCTTGATGTGAAAAACATCCACTACTCTGCCAAGTACAATGAGACCTGATRTCTCAGGATTGAATGCCATTCAAACACATTAAGGATAATGGAGCTGGATCTTTTGTGTGTTGATGCCAGAATTCCATTGAAGTTGATGGCTCTTCAGTTGGCCCTGACATTCTAAACAGTGAATTTCTTTCCCTTCTTTTTTACCAAGTAAATCTGTTTTRAACACTTCTGTGAAAGAGTCTTCTCGAAGTCTACCACTTCTTTGCATAACAGTCACTTAACACTGATGATAGTTTGAATTTCAAGCACTAGAGGGTCTCAGGATTTCAGAAAATAGGAAGCATTTGTGTAGTGAGTGACAATTCAGGGCAAACACAAGAGCCCTGAAGGCATATGGAGCTGTTAATAAAAGTTATGCCCAGTGAGCCCGTGCTTGGTAGCATCAGAAGCTTCAGGGAGGCTGAAATACAGTTCTGTTTTTGCTATTGATACATAGAGGCTTTTTGAGTAGATTTGAGCTTCTATTAATGGTGTTTCTTGGTTATAAAAAAAACCTTGTGGGTGTTTTGCTGTGGCCTCCAAGTCCCCAAAATGTGTGCCRTGTGCCTCAGAGCAGGTGTTTCTATTTCAGCCAACTGTGTCTAATGGCAAACATCCTTTTGCTTCCCATCTCTGGAAGTGCTAATGTCACTCCTTGTCCAGTTCAGTAGGATCAATCTGCATTAAGTTGTTTTTTTCCTTTTACTATCTTTTCAACAGCTACTTTTATAGCTTAAGTGTTCCTTTTTTATGTGTTTTTCTTCAAAGACAAATAGGGGGTTTGTTACTTGAGTAATAGGGTGATACTTSCTTGCTTCCTAAGCATACCCTGGAATGCTGAGACTTCAGTGGAGGAATAGTGCATTGCAGGGAAATTCCTATAAAGCAGTATAGTTCAAATGGACTTAAATAAAGTCTGGCCTTATTCAAACTGTAAGAAATAACCCATGGTGAAAGTTTGGAGGTTTTTTTTTTTTTCAGTTTTGTTTTGTGTTTGCTTGTTATTGGTTTTGCCCCAGCTTCAGCCCTCAGACTTGAACTCATTTCTTTAGTGAAACAGGRACTTAAACATTTCATTAAAAATTTTGCTTTTCTCTTTGTTATTTGTATCAGGAGTTCCTTCTAACTTAGTGAAGCAAAAATTTGAAACCAACTCTTTGGTTACATTCACCATTTGCCATATGCAGAGAAGGTAGGATTTGAGCTTGCTATTTGTTTTATCTCACAACAGGGTGAAGGACTCCAAATTGACAGAGTGAGTCTGGTGCCTGCACATTCTGCACCACGTTCTGTACTGGTTGTAGTGACAAACTGAGGAAGTTACTAAGATATTTATTGKCTGTGTTTCACAAGAGGTTTACTTTGAGCTTACTGAAGCCAAAGTGGAAGCAGGGGGAATTTTGTTTTATAAATTGCAGTTGATAAAACTTGTGAGGATTCTTGTCTTGTTCTTCCTGATGCCATGGAAAAATACATACCAGGTGAAAAACAGACATGCAGCCCAGTGCATCATTATCCCTTAAGTTCCTATTGTCCATTTTAAGATTTCATTCAAGTAACTTGAAACTGGGTTGCGTGGTATATGTTTATTCTGTTTAAGCCAGATTTGCATGCATTTTCGTCATGTTGCTGGTGCTGAATATGTGCTTGAAAGGTTCTTGATTTCCACCCTTCGCYGCTTGTTGTSTCCTTCCCTTTGTGGAGCCACAGRAAAAGTGATTTTTGGGCAACTAGARTTGWTAAGRTCWGKAGCAAATCARTTCCTTCTTGTAAGCTGAAGTGACTTTTAGCCAGGCAAAGTTTCCCTGTTCCTTATTCCCTTCAYGGTGGGTAGGATTAACTTTTCAGAGCTTCCTGTTTGTTTCCTTTCTGTCTTCTATGCTGCTTCAAGTGCCTGTACCATCTTAAAGCTTGACTGAAAATTGGATCAGATACTTCTTATGCTAATTTGAGTTTATGKATTATAGCTGAAGAAGGTATAAATAATGTTCAAGTAAGGAAAATAACCCTGGCTGTTGATGAAATGGCTGCAGAGCTGKTATTGAACTGTACTGAACTGRGTGTGAGGGAACTGTGGGAWTAYGKACAGAGAAAATTATCTTGGGGTCARAAAACAAGCAAATGAGAAGTAGATTGGGAAGGGCATTAAGGTAAGATTTTTTCCAGAATAATTTATACCACTTTCTAAGATGGTTGGGACTTAAGGATGAGTAATGGAGAATGACTAATATGTTAAGAATTGAATATGGGCTTTGGGAAGCTGTGAACAGCAATGAAACCTGATGTTGCGTAAATACAATAAAAATCTGTGCAACTTAGAAAATGCGGGCTGGAAATTGCATTTGGTTTGGACAGTGACACTAACATAATTTGTTAATCAGCAGCAAGGGAGACTTGGAGAAGGGAAGGATGATGAAGATGTTGAATTTTTCCTCTTATGCCTTTTCKGGGACTTGTCTATGTATCTCACTTGACAGGATGATGCATTAAGTGCCAAAGTTACAAATAGAGCAATATCTAAATGAGCTTAAGGAATGAATTTGCAACAGTAGAAAAGGTCAACTTTTAAATAGGTAACACACTCAGACCTTCATAAAACTGGAGAGTAATCTGTCAAAATGAAAAAATAACAAATGTCTCTGTAACTTAGCATGTTTGAAAACAGGTGATGAAAGACTTGGTCAAACRTGAAATAGGAGTAAGTGTCAGATTGACAGCAGAGCAAGTGAACATGTCCTTAGAAATCTTGGGTTTGCAGGTACAGACAACAAAGAATGGCTGTGAAATGCTGCATTTGACAAGTGGGTTAAATAGGCAACTTAACAGTTTAGATGTTACAATAAATCCAAGAATCTGTCCAAGTCTATTATTTTTTAATAATGGAGTCTAGTATTAATAGACTTCCTTATTATTGCAGGTGCCTTCACTTGCAAGATGGTGCCGTTTGTTCAGTCCACTGCTATTGTAACTGAAATCCTTACAATGACCTGCATTGCTGTGGAAAGACACCAGGGAATTGTGCATCCACTAAAAATGAAGTGGCAGTACACCAATAAAAGAGCTTTCACGATGCTTGGTAAGATTTTTAGCATCTCCAGTAATGGTGTATRTAAAGGAATAATTTTCAGTGAGGTTGGTATGACAGATCAGAAGGCATTTTTATGACCATGATTCAGAGGCAGGGTTAATTGACCTTTCTAAAAGAGCTCAAGGGCAGTGTCTGTAAGTAGAGTATATTTAGTAGCCAGAACTCTCAAAAGGGACTTAGCATCTAAAGCAAAAATGTACTTAACCAAGATCAACCTTTAGCAGCCRTTTCATCTTTTGTTTTTATTTTTAACAAAGGTTCAGAATGTACAAGTGCTGCTGAAGCAATGTCACAGTGAAATAGTCCTTCCACGGTTACAAAAGAGATGTACTTAATGCTCCTTAATGCAGATTAAGTGGCTTTTCCAGTGGAATATCAATAATTGGAGGTAGTTTGGGAGACAGAAAGCTGATGTCAAAAGAGTATGCTGTTATTGATGTGAGTGTTGACGTATGCCTCATAGAAAACTTAGTTCTTTATTACGATTTTCTGCCTTGCCTGACTTTTCAAAGCTGTTAAACTGTTCATACCAAAACCTGCTTGTTGGATTAAAGTATTAAAAGTATTAAAAAATGTATTTATTTACAGGCATAGTCTGGTTGCTGGCTCTTATTGTTGGGTCACCCATGTGGTACGTGCAACGGCTTGAGGTAGGTTAGGTGAAATGGGGATTTGCATCTTAAACTCAGTCCTTGCTGATGTTTCTGAACCTTTAGCAATCAAATTGAATCAACTCCTATGAAATTGGAGTGAGATAAGAGAGGTGAAGCTTTGATTCTGTGTGCTAGCCTGAGAAAGGCTAAGGATTAGAGCTTCCATGCAGTGGRGGAAGGAATACCAACAGGGACTAGTCCTGTCTACTCTCCCTAATTATGTCAAATAATTATATAATGATATATAATTATTATATAATTAAATTATTATATTTAATTATTAAATAATTATATTATGAGCAATAATTATATATGCGACCTCCACTGTAGCTTGATTTTGGTTTATAGGTGCTGYGGCACACAGCAATAGAGAACTTACTGATTTTTCAGTGTTCCCCAAGATCTACAAGAATTGTTTAGTTTAAAATTAATTAGCTGCTCATTATAGTTGATGAGTTGCCACATACGTTTGGAGGTTAAGAGGCTTGGCAGAATCTGCTTCTTTTGAGTCTGAATGTTAATAGTTTTTTTTTTAAGTGGCTAACGTGAAGCTTCTGTATATCCATCTTTACTTGCAAAATGTGTTGCCAAGGTCTGCTTTAAAGTGCAAATCAGAGCATTTCCTGACCTCTGTCAATTTGGATCGAACCCAGCACTTGATGGGGAAAAGTGCTTGAAAGTATTTTGTCACTTTGAAAAGTCTGATGTCTTTTGGTTGTTCCATTAAGAGCAAGGAATATCTGAATGTGCTTGGCTTTTACACTGGGGATAAATAGCCGAGTGCCTCATCTTCTTTGTATTTGTTGTTACAGGTTAAATATGACTTTCTGTATGAAAAAGTGTATGTCTCTTGCTTGGAAGAATGGRCCAGTCCAATTTATCAGAAGATCTATACGACCTTTATTCTTGTTATWCTCTTCCTTCTTCCCCTGATACTGATGCTTTTATTGTACACTAAAATTGGCTATGAACTCTGGATTAAGAAACGAGTGGGAGACGCTTCAGTTCTTCAAACCATTCATGGGAGCGAAATGTCTAAAATATCAAGGTTTGTAAGCAAAATATGCTTGAAACTTTGGCTTCTAGAAAGCTTTTTTCCCTGACTTTTTTATTCCTCTTGAATAGAGTTTAAATTGCCTTGCAAGACATGCTGATGTCATGGCTTCCTGCAGCYGTACAGTGCACTGCTGTCCCAAAAGAGAAATGAAAGATGTTAATTGATGGGCTAGATTTATATGAGGTTGCATTTTTTGTTTCCAAGGGAATTGTGTACTTCTGAGCRTTCCTTGAGGGTTTTATTTGCATCWGCAAGCATCAGAACASAGTCACAGATCTAATTTGAAGAGACATGAATCTGCCAGTCAGTTCCCAGTGATTCAGTGTGGAATGTCTTGGTGCAATTTCAGGAAGAAGAAGCGAGCAATTGTTATGATGGTGACAGTGGTGTTTCTCTTTGCAGTCTGTTGGGCCCCTTTCCACGTGATTCACATGATGATGGAATACAGTGAGTACCTGCCATATCTCATAGAATAAAATCTTTGGGTTTGGGTTTTGTTTTTTTTTTGTAATGGAGCTCCAGGTTGTGACAAGCTAATGCTGCTGCAGCATTCAGCTCTAGAATACATTCTGCTAGCAAAGATTAATGCTCTATTTATAAGAAAGACTTAAGAAAAAACAGGAATATTAGGGTGATGAGTGCATCTCTGTAGAGCCTTTTTCTTTGTCTGTTATGCTACCCTCATTTGCTGAAAGGTCAGAAGAACCTGGCTGGAAGCTAAAAGTTATTTCTGACCATAAAACCTCTTGAAGTTGTTAATTTAAGTGTAACTGTTTTGAGTTAAACTTATTATGAAACATTTATCCCTTTACTTCCCTGGGTTTTATTTCAGTGGGCATATTGGAAATATAAATACTGGACATCACAGTGATAATACCACACAGTGAAAGCAGCTGGAGTTTTTCATTGCTCTTTACTGCAAATTGGGTTGGAAATGCCCTCAATGCTTATTGTGTTGGCTCTTTGCTATTTGCCTTATTTTCTGGGGTCTTCCACTATGCATCTCCTACCCTCTCCATGCGTACTGGAGGAGACTGTGTATCAACAAGAGGAAGTTTTCCATAGTTGTACTCTACTTGCTAAAGGCAGGACCTGTTTCTTTGTCTCACAAGTAAGRTTGTAGCAGATAAATCAGTAGTTCACCCAGTCCGTTGTTTTGGCTCATGAATTGCCTCCTTCACCTGATTCTGTTACTACGTACATACAAAGTATGATTATGTGATAGAGCTTGATTTTATCTCGGTGATGAAACTATCGCTAATGTTAAGAGCTTCAATTATGGGTTTTTTGGTTGATTTTCTTCTAATGCCAAAGTGGATATTAATAGGCTACGTAGTAAGAATTTATGGCATTCTGTGCTTACAGCATATTTCTCTTCTCCTTTCCAGGTAATTTTGAGAAGGAGTATGATGATGTGACGATCAAAATGATTTTTGCAATTGTGCAGATCATAGGATTCTTCAATTCTATTTGCAAYCCTATCGTGTATGCTTTCATGAATGAGAACTTCAAGAAGAATTTTCTGTCTGCCCTCTGCTTCTGCATCATGAAAGACAACACATCCCCAACCAGGCACCTTGGGAACTCAGGAATTACCATGAGGAGGCAAAAGCCAAGCTCTTCTCAGAGAGATCCCATGGATTCAGACGAAGGAAGGAGGGAGGCTTTCAGTGATGGCAACATCGAGGTCAAGTTCTGTGATCAGCCAGCTTCCAAAAGGAATTTGAAAAGGCACCTGGTCCTGTTCAGCTCTGAGCTTACTGTGCACTCTGCAGTAGGAAATGGACAGTAACATCACAAGGGGGTTTGACAATGGAGAAATCATTCTCKTTAGGATAACTTTCAGTAAGCCATTAAAAGAGTTTTCTGCTTTGCATTCAGAAATGAGGAGAGAAAATGTTCTGTGGACTATAATAATGTTGGGATAGTGATTGAGAAAATGTATTATTTATTTTATAACGACGAGGAGTAAAACTTGGGAAAAGAACATTACCAACCATATGATTTCCAGGAGAAAAAAAGTGATTTCTTCCTAAGTTAATTTAGGGCTTGTTTGCCCTTGGCTTTAGGTAAACCARACAACTGCTGCTTGCTCCATTTATTCTGTCTGGACTGTACACAGTTGACTGCTAGAACACAGGAAGGAGGGAATGTGCACCTTTTTGGGACAACTTGAAAATCGAACATGAGCCTGACATTGCAAGATCTGCTCTCTGCAGATTTGGGTACAGAGTAGCTTTAAATCTGAGTTCAGGAAAGATGGAGACTGAGATGCAATTCTGTTTTAGAAAAAAAAAAGGAAATATGGAGGAGTCATCCAGAATATAACTCTGAAGAGATTAAGATTTAAACATTGCATGCATGTTGAGATTTTGTTAACTGGAAACATCTAAGTAATTAACAATGCATGCGTAATTACTGTGCTGTTTTTATAGGTTAATTCTCGGGTACCAATTCAAATGCCATTGTAGTGCCCTGTAAACTGCCTTGTTCTGCTGGAAAATGGAGAAGTTGAAAAAATGCTGTACAAGAGTGTGCACATGCAGAAGGTGTGGTCTGCAGAGTAAACACCAGGTTGAATTTCCAATCATGCTTGGGCATGTGGCTCTCAGGTTGCAAGTGTGGTGTTGCTGTTTTCTTTAGGGTTATAAGGGCATGATCCAGAGCCTRTTGGGACTTCACAGAAGACTTCCAATGGGATATCATGGTCTCTTGATCAGACACTTCTCTGAAGATGTACTCATATTTTTTGTCTGTCCATCATCTTCAAAGGGGATTAACTGCTGTCTGAGAACCAGGCCAGTGTTGTGGTTTTTTAGGCTTTACAGTAAATTGTGAGGTTGATATCCGTATAAATTCTAAATGCTTTTGCTTTCAGTGGGCCAAACAGCAAAATTACAAAGGTATGCTTGCAAGGGTGGGGCTGGGGGAGTAAGTGTGACCTAGGTTGGTACACTGGGATCTGATCCCGTAAATGAGGCCTTGAAATACAGAATTTGCCACTCTTGCTGAGGTTAGATCAGATCATTTAACAGCCCATGAAATGCCAGTGCTCTCTTCTGTCATCCCTTGCCTCACCTATGGCACCTTAGTGCTGCCTTGGCAGGCAATTTAAGATTCTTTTACATTGCTACTTTACACTTCATTGTAAATGAAAACTTAGGATAGAATATCTGTGTATAAATTGCAAATGATTTGATCCTTCTCCAACATCTACAGATTTCCATTGGTTTCTGACACACTTTATTTGCATATATATTTTTAATATTATATATAATATACTCCTGGGCAATGACACAAGGTTCCTGACTTGTCCTGAGGGCCAGGAATTAAGAACTYAATGGGATATTATCATAGTTTTCCTCAGCAGATGTAAAGCTTAATTGCCTGGTRGTTAGAGCTATGTGTTTGGATAGAGTCTGTGACTGATAACTAATTTATTTCAAGCCATTTATTTATTTGCTGCTAATTTCAGTGACAGATTTTAACAAGCATTTAGTCAAAACTTCCAAATATCTTATATTTTTGTTTTGTGTTACCTCCTTCTTCTGTTGTCTCATAAAATGTTATGTCAGTGAATTAACTGATGTAGTATTAATTTTATTTTCATTAAAGTTCTGTTTTGGGTTTGTTGSTGGTGGTATTTTGCACTAGGGGGTGATTGCTGTAAACTTCCCTCTGAGTTTCTCTTTGTTTAAAGGTTCATGTGAGCTCATGTGTGCTTCTTTAGTAATTAAATTCCAGTCCTGTTACAGGTRCCYRMTGTTACTGTAATCCYGAGSCTTGTGATTTACAGGACTTTACAGRATAAGGTGAGAAAGGGTAAAAAAAACTTCCAATCTCTGGGTAGGGTGATAAGTGTTTCAGCACAGATATATGTGGCTATGGTTAGATTAAATATAAACCCAAATGCAAGAGGCAGTTCTCATACTACTTTTAATGGTAATTGTATTATTTGTCCTTTTTTTTGACAGAGTAGTTTTCTGAAAGCCAGGTAATCTTGTCCTAGCTTCAGGGAACAAAAGATCCATTATTGACTTGAGAACAACCAGGATTTTGCCCATTTCTGCCAGAGTTTAAAAAAATCTGTCAGAGCTTCGGCTTTGATTTGGCCAACAAAACCAGTTGTTCTGCCCAAGTGGGTCAATGACTTGTACCCTGTTTGTGGCTGTAGCTGTGTGCTTCAAACCAAGAAAAGCCCTGCTGTCCCTCAAGCTGCCTGTGCTTATTTCCATCTTCCAATAACAGAATTGCACAGTCCAGCTGATCACAGAAAATTCCTGGCTAATGAATTTACCAGAGAATAGAAAAATTAACCATGCTCATTTCCCTAAAGTGAGAATGTTTATCAAAGCTGTTGTGTTCTTTGAGGAAAAATGTTTCCTCAAAGTTTTTTTGTTGTCTTAGCTATAAATAACCTACCATTACTCTGATAAAATTAAGAAGAAACTTCTTTCATTCTCAGCTGTAAGGGGCTAAGCCTTTCAGTTGCAGTGAGATGATGCCAGGAACTGACATGCTGATGAAGACAGGAGCCTGAAAGGACACGTTCCACTGAAAAGACTCTGGAAATTTGAATGGACAAAAAAAAAGTGTCAGATGTGTGAGCTTGTTCAACTGATACCAGAGAGTATTAACTAGGAAAACAGTGAGCAGAAGGAAGTGAACCCTCTCAGTTACTGTAACAGTAGCAATTAAAATATGCCCAATATCGATGYGTTCCAAGGAACACCAATTGCCAAYSATTGCCAAGCCAGCAGAGATGTGTKATGTGCCTCCATCCAGAGTAAGTACATGGATTGTCATCCTGGAGATGTGTTAGCCCTGCCTGTGTGCTGATTACAGGGTCAGCTGATGTTCAGTGGTTGTGTGTGCTGCTGGCAGAGCCTGAGAATGGCAGAAGCTGCTGAAAGAAGTGATSCAGCATRGGGGAAGGGACAYCTGAGAGATCAGACAAATGTACAAAGAGCAATGCAGAGGAGGACTAAATTATTACTCCCAGGAAAAAAAAAGAGGAGGAATAAGTGGGTGAAAGGATGTAGTAGAGCTGTTGTCTTGGGGGGATGGGATAGGGAAAAAAATGGTGGCGAGTTATGTTTTTATATGGATTAGGGATGATCTGAGTTACAAATTTGGGAAAGTTTAGGAACTGTGTTCCGAAAGTTTAATGAGCAGAACAGCATCTCAATGCACAGGGTAAAAGGCTGGGAAGAGTGATAAGTGCACTTTTGGTGCCTCTGCAGCTGGGAGCAGTGGAAGGAGCTGGAGCTTCACCAGCTTGAGGAGACAGGTAAATGTGGATTTAATGCGCATTGAAGAGATTCAATTGTGTGTATTCCTTCAGAACCCCATAACAATCCCTCTGTTTCTGTCTATACTTAAAGTTGTGCTTTGACACCTCAAAACTGTTTTCCGCAAGTATTGCTGGACATTGAAGCCATGAGTAGCTTCTGCTGTTGAAGCTCCTGTCAAASTGATGGATTATGAAGTTACTTTAAAGGCTCTGATGTGATTTGAGATGAAGGGTCACATTCTGGTTTAGTATGAGATTTTAATCCCACCTGGCTACAGCTACATCAGTACACCAAAACACGGTCAGTTAAAAGAGCAAAACCTGTTTCCTTTCATTGAAAAAAATACAGACTAACAGCTCTACAAGTTAGGCTCCACACAAGATTCGTGTTGCTGGGAAAGTGCTGTCCTATAAGCCAGGGTTCTTTTGGAGAAGGTCTAAGGGTATTTGCGTTCATAAAAGAAGAATTTTTGTAGAGATACAAACAAACTTGTACAAATTACATCCGTGCCCTGTAGGGTGCTTAAAATCCCAACCAWGACTTGAAAAGATGTCTCGCTGCCTGAAAAAGGTTGAAGTTTGTTTTTCGGCCTCCTGTGGAGTAATACAAAGCTTTCTATGAAAAGCTCTTATTTCCTTGTATTTTCCCTTTTTTTCACAAAGCAGAAACTTCTGGTTGTTTCCTATTCTTTGGAGAAATAATCATGAAACCTTTGCCCCAAACATATTGTGGAATATGGTCAGTTTATGAAAGGGACTTCATCCTAAATGACATAATAATGTGCTTGCATTGAAAAGCCTTTTTTACATTAGCGCTTCAGAGAGAAAAAAAGTCTTTTTGTTTCGTTGGTTTGTTTTTTTTAACATTTTGGGTTGAAATCTCTTTATGGCCTTCTAGTTTTTATTTGCTCTTTTCACTCCAATCACTCTTTTTCTAAATAATTTGCACCAAGGTTTCTCAGGATGGACTCACATGGGTTTACTGTTCCCTTGGACATGGTCCTTTCCCTCTCTATCTCTAACATTTTCTATGCTTTATTGAATTATGTAGTCTTACACCATCTTCTCCCATGCCCCTSAGCAAAGCCTTATTTAAATGATTTAAAATTTAAGGCAAGGTCTCCATAAATCTCCTGTGTCATGGAAATACATGAGAAAGCTTTCAGGCTTTTTCAGTGCTTTTGTGTCACCCATCCTAAATAGGCATCCTTTCTCCTTATGTTCATCCACCTTGATAAATACTGTAACAGATGGACGTATAACTGTTGTAGGATCAGRCATAGTTTTACTGTAGAATCACAGGTGCAATCTTTTAATTTGATTTTCTGCTTCATCCATTTGCTCAAGCAAAAATTACTCAGGGTTGAACTGTATTTTCCCATGTTGACAAATGAATGCTTGGCTGACTAAATAAAGCCGAAGTATATCGCCTTACAGATCCATCACACTGGAGGAGAAAAAGTTGTCAATTATTTTAGGAAAAAAAAAAATTCCTAAATAAAATTTCTACTTGTGAAAGAAGAAGGTTAGCATGTTTTAGGGTGTTTTAAAGTTTTCTTTTTAGTTACCTTTGTAGGTGTCTTTCCCTAGTGCCGMGATTGTGCTGTGCAGGGTGAGAAAGCTGCAATTCCCTCAGTGAAGAGGGTTCAGTTCTTATCAGGGCTGCTCTCTGTGCTTTGCTGGTTTCAGGGACATCCCTGGGAACCTTTTGTTTTCATAGTGTCACTGAACTCTTTGCTTAASATGCCTCTTTCCTAACAACAAACTTTGTTTACTGGGAAGTCAACCTTTGACTTCTGCTTTTACCTTGCTTCTTTTCTTTTTCTCCTCAGTTTTACTTTTGTAAAGTACAAAAGTACTTTACTTTTGTTTTACTTTTTCACTTAGTCTCTGTCCCTTTTTTTTTTCTCTTATTGCTTTCCCTGAAGCAACTCCTTGAGCTCCCTGTGACCTTATCTCTTTTATACAGATTAGAATAACCAAGCAATGTATTTTGATAATGAAGTGAAGCAGCTCTCTGGTTCAGAAAATTTATTCCATCAAGGCTGACTATCAGATTATGAACTGCATTTCCAGTCTTTATTTCAGGTGCCCTTGGAAAGACCTTGCCCATTCTAGTGGTTACAGTAGGCTTGCATGTGTAGATATTGTTTCTGAATTGACTTTATATATTAACATTTTATTTCTCATGCTGCTTACTGCCATATTTCTGTTTAGGTTTTTTTCTTTGACTTTACAAATTTCTAATTCTTAGGACGTGAGGCTTCTCAGTAATGTGGCAGCTGCACTGCAAGAGTTGATTTTTCTTGCTTCAAGTAACAAATGGAGATGTCAGTCTTTATTGTTCAGATGATGGCTMAACTATGGCTTATAAAAAGGTCCAGTAGCTTCCTTCTGGGAGTCTGTAAATTACACTGCGTAGTGTCTTCTGTGTGTGTGACAACAGAAATGTAATGTTCTTCTGCTTTTTGCCTCTAACATATGGTTTCCACAGATAYATCTGTTAAACACCCAATTGAGCTATTAGTGAGTTCAGTCCATAGCTGAAGAAGCTTCAAGACCGTGCAATCTGAGAATAAACTATTAGAAGCTATTTAGTGTCTCCATGGGTAAAGTATAAATAGCACATTAAATGTCATATTAAAATTTGTACTCCGGTAGACAAATTTTGGAAGAGCAGATGTGTGGCAAAAACACATCTGAAGAATCTCTTTGGCTCCAGCAGCCAAGGTTGTTGTGGGCTCGCTCGGGCTGTAGATGGCATCGTTGCTGCATGTGAAAAGCCGTTCGTTTCCAATCCCTCCGAAGGGAATTGTTATTCTACAGGCGTTTGGAAGCACGAATTTGATTGGTAGGATTTGGTAAGGGTTTGATAGAATCCTTCTTTCCCTAGGATTAGAGAGAAACATGGAGAGTGGTGTTGGTTTATTTTTTTTTTTCCTTTGTGAAATTGTGCGTAGGAAAGCAGTTGGACTTCGTGTGACCAATGGTATAAGCAACCCAGTCAAAATTGGTTTTATTGTTTTGTTTTTTTAAATTTAATTCATATCTTAGACGTTTAAKTTTTTATCTAGAAATCATCCCTTTTGCTGTGGAAAATTTGTTTTCTGAAACAAGCAAATAGCACTCTTAGGTCTGTCTTGTTTTTGAAGCTGAGCATTTGAAATACAAATCAGTGAATGAATCTGTGAAAAAATAATAGAGATCAAGGCTCTCAGAAGTCCTTCAGAAGGCATTTCCAGACTCCCCAGAGTGTACTAAAAAGCCTTTGGTTGTGGGCATCCCCCTTCCCAAATCTTGATATAGTAGAGRGAAGTCAAAGGGGAAGTGGAAAGGGGA